GCAGCAGCATCATCCGCCTCCTCCTCCGCCTCCGCCTCCGCCTCCGCCTCCCCCCCCCCTCCTCCTCCTCCTCGTTCTCCTCCTCCTCCGCCTCCTCCTCCTCCCCCTCATCCTCCTCCTCCGCGTACAAGCGTAGCGTAGGTCTCCATGGTTCAGGTTAGTTGCCATTGATAGCTACCTTCGTGCACTTCCTGAGGGGGCCACCATTCACATTGCTGGGGGGGTTGTGGACCCCTCCCATTGTATGAGGTTTCACGCTGAATTAAAGGTATGGTTTTGTGCGAGTTGTGGGATGTGTGGGGACCAGCAGCTTTGCGGCCTTGGGAAGGTTTGCGTCTTTCGCCCCACTTCGATGAGGAGAGAATATCTCCGCTTGATTAGACTGGGGCAATGGCCCAAGGTTTACAGTAAGTCTGAATTAGCCCGTAAAGCCCAGAAGAGCTGTAAGTGATTGTTGGAAGGACTACGTCCAGGGACTCCAACTCCAACTCCAACTCCTCCTCCTCCTCCTCCTCCTCATCCTCTTCCTCCTCCTCATCCTCCTCCTCCTCCTCATCCTCCTCCTCCTCCTCCTCCTCCTCCTCCTCCTCTCCACCTCATCCTCCTCCTCCCTCCTCCTCCTCCTCCTCCTCCTCCCCTCCTCCCTCCTCCTCCTTCTTTTCCTCCCTCCTTAAAATCCTTGTTCCGTTCCTCTCCTCCTCCTCCTCCTCCTCCTCCTCCTCCTCCTCCATCCTCCTCCTCCTCCCTCCTCTCCTCCCTCAATCTCCTCCCCCTCCTCCCCTGCTCTTCCTCCTCCTCCTCCTCCTCTCCCTCCTCACCCTCCTCCTCCTCCTCCTCATCATCCATCATCATCATCATCAGCCATCATCATCATCACATCAGCATCATCCATCATCTACTCATCATCATCATATCATCATCATCATCATCATCATCATCATCATCAGCATCATCATCAGCATCATCATCATCAGCAGCAGCAGCATCAGCATCAGCACCATCATCGTGATCAGCATCAGCATCATCAACCTCAGCATTATCATCATCATCATCATCATCATCATCATCATCATCAGCAGCAGCAGCAGCATCAGCATCATCAGCAGCATCAGCATCAGCATCATCATCATCATCATCATCATCATCATCATCAGCAGCAGCAGCAGCATCAGCATCAGCATCATCATAATCATAATCGTCATCATCATCATCAGCATCAGCATCAGCATCAACATCAGCACCATCATCATCATCATCATCATCATCAGCATCAGCATCAGCATCAGCATCATCATCAGCAGCATCATCATCTGCGTCATCATCATCATCATCATCAGCATCAGCATCATCATCATCATCATCAGCATCACCATCATCATCATCATCATCAGCATCAGCAAGTATCATCATCATCATCCATCATCATCATCATCATCGAGCATCATCCATCATCATCATCGTCGTCGTCATCATCATCGTCATCCATCATCATTATCCAGCAGCATCATCATCATCATCATCATCAAAGGCACGCATGCAGCATCATCATCATCTCCTCCTCTCCTCCCCTCCTCATCATCCACATCATCATCATCATCAGCGTCAATCATCATCAAGCATCATCATGACCTATCATCATCACCATCATCATCATCATGAACCAGCAACATCATCATCATCATCATCATCATCATCTCACAGCACATCATCACATCTCATCATCATCAGCTCAATCATCGCATCATCAGCAGCACATCAGCAACTAGCATTATCAGCATCACATCAGCATCACATCATCGTCTCATCATTATCAGCATCAGCATCATCATTATCAATCATCAGCATATCATCAGCATTAGCACTCACCCTCATCATCACAGCATCATCACATTGATCCACCACCCTCCTCATCATCATATCATCAGCAACAGCATCATCATCATCATCATCATCATCAACATCATCATCATCATCATTGTCATCCCCCTCCTCCCCCTCCTCCTCCTCCGCCTTCTCCTCCTCCTCCTCCTCCTCCTCCTCCTCCTGCTCCTCCTCCCCCTCCTGCTCCTCCTGCTCCTGCTTCTCCTCCTCCTTCCCTCCTCCTCCTCATCCTCCTCTTACTTCCCCTCCTCAGCACCTGAGCGCGCTCCATATGGCTGGCGGCGCGCACGAGTCGGTTGCGCGACGAGGGGGCGGCCCTCCAAAGAGCGGTGTGCCTCTCGGAGAGTGTGGGCATTCTCGGAGGGGCATCTCAGAGGCCTCGAGAGCCCTTCCAACGATGAGCAATGAAAAGTGCCCCTGCCTCTTGGGGAGGGGACCTGAGTTAGGAGGGCAGAAAACATCAGAGATAAGGGGGGTCTTTTTCCTGCGCAGATGCCTCACACCGAGCCGCCCCGTTATACTCATCCCCAGTGCAAAGAGGGGGCCTACCGACGTAAGGAAGCCTCCTGGAAAGCCTGGGCTGTGGAAGCCGTGGCCCTCCAAACCGCGGGCCCTGCCCCCCTCGGAGGGCGCAGGGACCTCTCGGAAGCGGGGCCCCTCCGGAGCCTCTGGGAAGGGGGGGGGGGCATCCCGAGCAGGCTCGGCCGCCCTCTCGCGAGGACCTCCCCGCCTCCTCGGCAGCGCCGCCCCCCTCGCGCCCGGCCCCTCCCCGACGTCCGCCGGCGGCGTGGTTCCTCGGGCCGCGGCCCCCAGAGGCCCCGACCGCTTCCGCGGGGGCACACAGGCAAGAGCACCGACGGCAAGGAGGCGCGATGGGCATGCCGAGGGCCCTGGGAGGCCACGTCGAGGCTCTTCGAGCGGGGCGCGGCCGGCGAAGGTGGCCCAGGATGGGCCGGATGGAGAGGGCGCCAGGGAAATCGTGGAGAGCCGCTCGTCCCTGCCATCGGTTTCGACGGTAGCGCTGCGTCTTCCGGGTCTGCTTTCCATGTGGTCCCCGGGCCCCATGGCCGGCCCCGGAGGCCGCACTCAATGAAGAGCGCCTGGACTTACCAGCCTGGAACATATCCCTATCCCTATGCTGGGCACCTTGCCAATCTTACGGATTCCCTTAGTTCTTCAGGGCGTATCCCTAAGATTGTCATCGCCTCTTGGCGTGTCAATCTTAGGGATAGGGATACGTTCGAGGCTGGTAATGGACGGGAAAACCATGCCGGCGGAGATCTGGGCCCCCGATACGCGCCGCCAGGATGGCGTCGTCGCCCTGGACGTGGAAGGGGTCCAGGTTGTCGCGCAGCGAGCCCCCGAAGAGGTAGGGGTCCTCCCGGGGCTCCGCAGAGCTGCGGCGGGCGGCGGGCCGCGCGGTGCCCCTCGAGGTCCCCGAGAGAGGCCCCGCCGCGCGGCGCGTCCCCCGCAATGGTCCCCCGTTGGGAACTCGGAGGCCCCCCGTCGCCCGAGGAGAGCGGCCTCGGAGGGCGGCCCGAGCCCCCGAGCCCGTGCGGCGACCCGGAAAATCCCCACGGACCCAGCAACGCGCAACACCTCGAGGCCCCAAAGCATACTTACCAGCCTGGAACATATCCCCATCCCTAAGCTGGGCATCGCCTCATCACAATGCCAAGCTTAGGGATTCCCTTAGTTCGTCAGGGCGCATCCCTAAGATCGTCGTCGCCTCTTGGCGTGTCAATCTTAGGGATAGGGATAAGTTCGAGGCTGTTGACACACGTCGGATCCACGTCGGAGCTGCGCCAGACTCGCGTCGGGCCTGCGTCGGGCCTGCGTCGGGCCTACGCCGGGGTGCACGCCGGATGCCTGCGCTCGCGGGGGGGGGCCCCCGAAGCTTCGGGAGGAGGAGGAGGAGGAGGAGGAGGAGGAGGAGGAGGAGGAGGAGGAGGAGGAAGGGGAGGAGGAGGGAGGAGGGAGGAGGGAGGAGGGAGGAGGGAGGAGGAGGGAGGAGGGAGGAGGAGGGAGGAGGAGAAGGAGGAGGAGGAGGAGGGAGGAGGAGGGAGGGAGGGGGGGGTCCTGCGGGATGATGGAGACGGCGCGGCCCCGGAGGCGCTGCAGCGGGACCTCCGAGACGTCGACGCCGTCGATGGAGACGACGCCGCCCTCGCACTCCTGGGGGAAGAGAGCCGGGGGGGCCAATCCCACCAGCCCTCTGGGCGGAGGTGGCCTAGAGCGTTTCCGTTTCCAACCTCCCTGATATACCTTCCCCCCCCTCCTTGGGTTTGGACGGCGCGGTCCCGAGGGGTTAGAGGGTCCTGGGGGGAGAGAGTGGTGGGCCGATGTTCCACCACCATCGCAGGTAGGACGGGGGAGAAGGGAGGATGGGGAAGTCCTCCTCCTCCTCCTCATCCTCCTCCTCCTCCTCCTCCTCCTCCTCCTCCTCCTCCTCCCCCCTACCTCTATAATAGTGGTGGTGGGAAACCAGCCCATCGCCCCTGGGGGAAGAGAGAAAACCCAAAGATCCCACGCTCCGAAAAAATTGGGCGGCGGGTTCTTGGCCGTGTTCGGCCGTCAGAAGCCCTGGGCTGCGCGTGACTGAGTAGAAGTGGTCCAGACCTCCGGGGACCACGCATCGAACAGAATGGAGCAGCTGGCTGTCCACGAACGCGGCGTGAGCAGAGACTCGCGGAGCTCCGCGCGGCACTCTCGGATCAGCGCGGGGCGCCCCCGGCGCCGGCGCGCGGAGCGCGCCAGGGGCCAGGGCACCGACCCGGGAGACTCGCGCGGAACTCCGAGAAATCATGAGTACTCCAGATTTCGTAATAAAAGGGAGGGGGTCTCAACCCTCCCAGACGAGAAGTTTTAGACCCCCCCCGTGGGAGAACCCTCCAAAACATCGTCCCCAGCCCCCCCCAGGCCCTCCAAGATAGCCTGGAAGAGACCCCCCCCGAAATGAGACCCCCCTCCCTTTATTACGAAATCTGGAGTATGCCCGCTGCTTTAGGTCGGGCATGTCCTCCTGCAGGCGGCTGCTGGGAGAAATCTCGCAAACAACATCAGCAACTGCTCGACAGAAGGCACGAGGCATCGTCCCAGACTACGTCTGTGCTAGCTTTGAACAGTTCTCCTGCAGAGGAACATGCCCGACTTAAGACGCTTGTTCCCTTGCGCACTCCACGAGGCGCAGCAGCGCCAGCATCGTGGAGCTCTTGCCGCAGCCGGTCCTGAGAGGGAGGCGGGCTCGGGGGAGGGGGCGAGCATGGACCCGGAATCGGCGACACCTCGCCGATGGACCGGCGATACAGCCGGCCCGTATCATAGGAGGGTGCGCGATGAGGATGCGAGGGCCTCGGGAGGCCCTTTCGAAGCTCTTCGAGCGGGGCGCGGCCAACGAGGGTGGCCCAGGACGGGCCGAGGAGGCAGGGCTGCAAGGGTCCCCCCTTGGGAGCGTGGGCCGTCCCTAAAAAGTGCGGCTTGACTGCACACCGCCGACAGGTCGGCGACAGGACCCCGACGGTGACTCTGGGCGCAGCTGGGCGGGGTGGGGTATTCGGAAGGGGCCCTGGGACACACGAATAAATACACACAAATAACCGGATTCCCCGTATTCTCGCATATTTTCCAGGTTTTTGTCTTCCCCCCCACTTCCCATGTTTTCCAATATTTTCCGGGGAATCGACGACTAATTGCGTCTGTGTGTTTTGTCCCCCCCTGAGTGAAGGCGTCCGCCCCTGAGCCTACGCCCCCCCCCTGGCCCCTGACTCGGGGACGTCCAAGAGCGGGGGCGTCCAAGCGGGGGGGCTCGCAAATCCGTGGCCCCAAGCATGTGCGCGGACGGGGAGGCCGCCAGGGGACGCCTTGACTTCAGAGGGGGGGCCGTGAGATCTGGAGGGGCCTTCGGGGCCAGGCTATGAGAGCCGACCCCCCTCATCGTCACCCCCGTCTTGGGCGCCCCCGATTTGGACGCCCGAAACGGGCGCGGAAAAGATCAAAAAATGTACGATTGAAGGGCCCCCAGGACACACAAATAAAAAGATTCCGCATATATATATATATATATATATATATATATATATATAGTCATATTTTCTGGGTTTCTGTTTTCCCCTCCACTTCCCATATTTTCCCATATTTTCCGGGGAGTGGACGATTAATTGTGTCTGTGTGTTTCTTTTCCTCCTGAACGATGCCCAACAGCAAAGTTTGTCCGAAACTGGCAGCGGCCGCTGTTGGGCAGGCGGCCTTCCGTCTCAAACGGACAGCGTCGTCCGCGGCGACACCGACAGCGACCCCTGCACAAAACGAACAAGGAGTGCCGTCGGTCTTCGTGCAACTTCTTTCCGTGCCCATTTCGATCGAAGCCACTCTCGGCTGGGGAAACCAAAAGGCACCGATACAGCCACTCCCCGGAGCTCTGCGTTCTGACCAGGCTGCCGAGGCGAATCCAGCGGCGGCGACGAGGGCCGCCCAGGAGGCCCCCAAAAAGGTGAAAACGAGGGAAAAGGTAGATGCGCGGGCACCTCTTCCTCCTCTGACGTATCCCCCGCCCGAGCACCTGCCCCCGCCGGGGAACTCGTAGAGCTTCTGTCCGAGAAACGCCTCCACACATGAGACTACATGAGACTACGTTTCAGTGAGATGACCTTTCAGTCATAGCCAAGAAGGCCACGCAGCTGCTCGAATCTGGAGGCAGCCCGCAAACCCAAGTGCTGAAAAAAAAATCTCGCCCCTGGCCCCCCCGACGTGGCCCCCGAGGTCCGCCCCACGATGCCCACCCGCTCGCCAGGGGCCGCCTCGAACGACAGCCCGGCGAGCACCAGCGGCAGGTGCGGGCGGTACCGCAGCTGCACGCCGTCGAAGCGCACCCGCCCCTCGGCCGGCCACTCGGGGCCGGGCTCGGGCCCAGGCCCGCCGTCGCCGGTCTCCTCGGGAGGGGAGGGAGCGGCACAGCCCGAAAAAGGGCACGGTGGGGGCACCAGACGAGGAACCCCCGCACAGTGGCAGCTGTCAACCCGCACAGGGAGGACGCACGGCTGAGGATGCAGGGGCCTCGGCAGGGCGTTTCGAGGCTGTTCGAGCGGGGCGCGGCCAGTGAAAGTGGCCAAGGATGGACGGAAAGGCAAGGGTGCAAAGGTACCCTGGGGAAACCTCCCCAGCCTTACTATGCGGCTTGACCGTATCCTGAGAAGCACGGTGGGGGGCATTGGACGAGGAACCCTCACATATAGTATCCAGGGTCTGGGCGCCTGTGGAGCTGCAGTCGTGGAGCAGCCATGGATCTCACCGCCGCCGTCGCCCATCGAGGAATCCCCCAGGGTCTGCGGCTTCCCGGGCAGAGTCCTGAACGAACGCTCCCCCCCCCCGTAATCGACCAGGGATCCCTGGCCGGGCGCCAGTTTTCAGGAGAGACAATTGTACCACTACCACCAGCTAGGGGCGTGGCCGCTCCCTCCCCTCGAGCTGGTGGCACCTCCTTCCGGGTACTCTCTGGAGGCATGCCCGGAACGAGGTGCCACCAGCTCGAGAAGGTGGGGCAGCCATCCCCCTAGCTGGTGGTAGTGGTCCTTTTGTCTCTGGTGAAGTTTTCTCAGCACCTGGGCGACGGGGCGAAAGGGTCTCGCGCGGGATACACAGCGCAAACTGCACGCCGCGGCTCACGCGGGCCGCCGGCGTGGCGCACCGCGCGGAGGAGAGGGCGCTTGCGCGAGACCTTCGCGGGGAGCTTGCGCGCGAGCGTCCGCGCTGTCGACCCCGAATGCTTCTGGCGCTCCTCCTCCTCCTCCTCCTCCTCCTCCTCTTCCTCCTCCTCCTCTTCCTCCTCCTCCTCTCCTCCTCCTCCTCCTCCCCTCCTCCTCCCCCTCCTTCTCCTCCTCCTCCTCCTCCTCATCCTCCTCCTCCCTCCTCCTCCTCCTCCTCCTCCTCCTCCTCCTCCTCCTCCTCCTCCTCCTCCCTGTCCTCCTCCGTCGCTCCGTTGCACCCACTTGTAGAGGTCAAAAAGTCCACCCCCATAAGAACCACCCCGACACGCGAAGTCGTTTCGTGAACGCGCCCACAGAAGGAATCAGGCAGGGCAGGGATTTGTTCAGTAAGCGCCCAAGGCCGTTTGGCAAACGCCGACTGTCGGGTCCGCTTGTTTTTTCCCCCTTGAGTTTAGTCCATAAGGGAACACCATGTCAGTGCACCCTGGTCAGATTCTGAATGAACATTAGTTGTCAGAGCTCTGCACTGACCCCCCCTCTCCCGGTCGCGCGGAGCGCGCCAGGGGCGGCGCTGGAGGCGCCGGCAGGAGGGCCTCCAGCGCCGATCCAAGAAAAATCCCCGCGAAACTCCGAAAGCTTCTGCTGATGAGTGTTGCCCTTCTTCGACTCATGGCCTTGGCCCCTCTGACCGATCTACCATTAAGTCGGGCCTGTCCCCCTACAGGGGGATTTTCGACGAAAAATAAAACATACACCAAAAATAATCAAAACATACTCCAGAAATAGTCTTCGGACCATTTTCTGCACCTTCTTGGAGTATGTTGGGGGTATTTTTTTTGTTTGTCGACAATCCTCCTGTAGGGGGACACGCCCGACATGAAGCTACCACAGCAGGAAAACAAAAAGCTGCAACGCTGGAAAAATAAAGGGACCCTGGGACACACAAATAAAAACACACAAATAACAGGACTCACCATATTTCCCATATGTTTCTGATTTCTGTCTTCCCCCCCACTTCCCATAGTTTCCACTTCCCCCCCACTTCGACGATTAATTGTGTCTGTGTGTTTTTTACCCTCCTGAAAAAACTGCAACGCAGGGCTTCGCAAACCCGGGTCAGCCAACATGTGCGGCCGCGGTTCGCTGACCCGGGTCAGCCAGGGGGCGTCTTCGCGGGATCCTGCAGGATCCAATGCCCTGGCTGACCCCCGTTTGCATTGACCCCCGTCTCTTGAGTCCCGATGGGTTAGCAGGGTTGAGATACCGTGCTGATCCTGGGGAATGGTCTCGAAGTAGAGCATGCGCTCCACCGAGAGCATCGCATTCTCGGTCTCGATGGAGCTCTGCACGGTCTGGACGAGGCGCCCCATGAGGTTCAGCGCGGTGGTGAGCCCGAAGCCCAGGAGCGCGGCGGTCTCCACCGTGCGCGGCAGCCACAGGCAGGAGATGCCGATGGAGAACACCTGAGGGGCAACACTCGGGAGGAGGAGGAGGAGGAGGAGGAGGAGGAGGAGAAGGAGGAGGAGGAGGAGGAGGAGGGGGAGGAAGAGGGGGCGAAAGGGAGGAGCAAGGGGGGGAAGAGGAAGACGAGGAGGAGGAAGAGGAGGAGGAAACGGAGGAAGAGGAGGGGGAGGAGGAGGAGGAGGAGGAGGAGGAGGAGGAGGAGGAGGAGGAGGACCTGGAATCAGCGATACCTCGCCGACAGATTTGCGATGGGCCCCCGATAGCGAAGCCGCACGCTCCCTGGCGGGGTGGGCTCTCGGGCCCCGCATCGGCGTCGAATGTGGCGATTGGCGGTCGATGCATCCCCCTGAGCCTGTTCCCCCCTAACGCTGCCCCTGCACACCACTCGCCATCGCTCGGACGTCCATTCCCTGTGTTTTTGTTCGGTTTCGTGCGTGGCGTTTTCGCCAAATGATCAAGGATGCTCCTCGATGGTCATCGCCGAAGAGGTATGCACACGTCCGAGCGATGCCAAGCCTAACGTTGCCCCTGCACACCATGGTGGCCGCGAACAGGTCCATGCGGTAGATCAGCCAGGGAACAAGGGCGTGCAGGTGGAAGAAGACCTTGAAGTTCAGGTCGCACTTCGCGCGGAACATGGCGGCCTGCTCGTCCACCATGCCGAAGGCCCGCAGGTGGGGCAGGCCGCCGACCGTCTCGACGAAGTTGTTGAACAGGGGCGTGCGCGAGACTCCCTCCAGGCGCTTGAGCTCACGGCTGGTGGACGCGTAGTACTGGCGGAACTGGTAGCCAATCCACAGCACGGGCGCTACGATGATGAGCGCTGCCCAGCTCGTGACCACGCACACGAGCATGACGTTGAGGACCAGGACGGCAAACTGCAGGAACGTGAACATGTACATGGGCAGCTCCATGTCCAGGCAGTCCAGGTCCTTGGCGAAGCGGTTTAGGATGCGCCCCAAGGGCTGAACATCGAAGTAGAGGGGCACGGAGGCGTGGAGGACGAACCCCATCATGCGATCGTGGGTGCGCCCGCTGATCTTGGCGCAGGACTCCATGAAAGCGTACGCGCGGCAAAAAGCGAACACGCAGACCAAGAGCGCCGTGACGCCCGTAACGCCACACCAAGCGCCATTGCTCATGGCGGGAGACCCCTCCAGCCAGAGCATGATGGGTCGGAGCAGAGCCAGTTGTCGGCGACACGCTCCTCCTCCTCCTCCTCCTCCTCCTCCTCCTCCTCCTCCTCCACCTCCTCCTCCTCCTCCTCCTCCTCCTCCTCCTCCTCCTCCTCCTCCTACGCCTCCTCCTCCTCCTCCTCGTCCTCCTCCGCCTCCTCCTCCGCCTCCTCCTCCTCCTCCTCCCTCCCTCCCTCCGTGGCCCTGGGCACGAGTGCCCGTGGTGCGCGGCTGAACGTGGGACGCGGGGTGGCCACACCTGGGCGCGCCGGCCGCTGCCACCGCTCCGCGCTCGGCGATCGGGGGGCCCCATCTGAGGGAAATCCAGAGGTACCGATACCGCTACTCTTGGCAGTGCGAGTAAGGGGGTGGAGGGAGGGCTGAGGGCTTCTTAGAAGGCGCCGGCCTTACATCAATAGGTATATGTAAGGCCCGCGCCTTCTAAGAAGCAGGGGTGCTTCTAAGAAGCCCTCCCCCTCCCCCCACCCCCCTCTCCGAACCTCTCCCGGGGTGCGCTCTGACCAGAACTTCGAGGCGAATCCGGCGGTGGGGACGAGGGCCTCCCAGCAGGCCCAAAGAGGGGAGGACGAGGGAAGGGTAAAGGCAGGGGTACATCTTCCTCCTCTGACCATCGGGCCCGCACCACGAGGTTGCTCGTACGTCTGATAGACATCGAGACCGCGGCGGCTCCCCAGCCGGTTTCGGGGGCGGCCCAGGGGGGCGTCAAGGGGGGGGGGGGGGGGGGCGCAAATCATGGCCGGCGGCACGTGCGCGGCCCAGGGGGGGACCAGGGACGTGATGCAAGAGGAAAAGGCGCCAAGAAATCTGAGGAAATATCATGGCCGACGCCATGATATCCACCCCCCTAGTCATCCCCCCCTCTTGCCAGCCACGCGCAGAGGGGGTTGGGGGAGGGGGGAGGGCTTCTCAGAAGCACCCCTGCTGCTTAGAAGGCGCGGGCCTTATCTCTATAGATGTATGGCTGGCGCCTTCTCAGAAGCAGCCTCCTCCTAAGAAGCCCTCAGCCCTCCCTCCACCCCCTTGTGCGCACCGCCAAGAATCCCTTGTTGCTGCCTCCTGACCTGATGCATGCAGTACCGTGCTGCACTTTCCGCCCACCTGGGCTACTCTTCCCTTGGTGCCGATGCTAAGAATCTTTTGCTGCGCGTGCCGCCATTCACCTGACCAGCGTATTGCTGGCTGAACCAGCTGCGCAGTCCAGAGATCCCCTGGTGCGCACCGCCAAGCTTGGCCGCCCCCGCCCCCCGCCCCCCCCCCCCCCCCGGGGGGCCCTCCGGGCCCGCTCGCCTCGGGCCGCGCTCCTCGCCGCGGCGGCGAGAGGCCTCGGCAGCGAACTCCATACATCGACGCTCTCTACGGCCCTGCACTGAAGCTCGCGCAGGAAAGCAGCTCCTGGTGTGTACGGGATGCTGGTGTATACATGTTTCGTCATTTCCCCCGGGCAATAAAAGGGAAACAGATATACACCACACCACCCCGACGTCGTCCCTGACCCTCAAAAAGTCCTGGGATTGGAAAACAGTACGCCGCTGGTAATGTAGATGTTCCAGTTTCCGAACAAAGATCCGTGTGCACTTCAGTCAGGCTCGATAGTGAGGACGCAAGCTCAGGATCCAGAGGGGGGCAGGAGCCTGAGATCCAGGCGCTGCAACTGTTTCCAAGCGGGGCGTCTGCACCCCGAGTAACGTGGGGGCCCATGCCACAAGGAAACACCCTGCTCGCCCCCCGAATGTGCCCTTGGGTTTCTTCGGCTGTGGCAAGCGCGACGCCCCAGCACCAAAAGTTGGCGGGATGCAAACGGGGGGATAAGTCCAGATGGGGAGAGAGGCGCAACCGAGGTACAAATTGTACCTACGCCCCACGGACATGGTACAATTTGTACCGGCGCCACGCAGACAAGGTACAAATTGTATGTTTGACAACGTCTGCGACATGTGCGAGGATGTTAACGGGGGGGAGAAGGTACAAATTGTACTTGCAACCCGCAGAGAAGGTACAAATTGTACCCCAACAAAGCGGTACCGGATACTCATCCCCCCATTTCCTGATCCCCCCATCGCCATCCGGCCGAAAAAGTCCATGGACGCCCCGGGGCCTCGGGGCCGGGCTCCTTGCGGACGGCTTCTCGTGCGGACGGGCCTCTCCGCTGGACGCGCAGCTCCCAGGATGCCCCGTGCCTCCCCGGGCGTTCGGAGCCTTCGCCCTCCCCCCACCGCCCCCCTGCCTCCCATAGTTCCTAGGCTCAGGTCGGGCCTGCCCCCCTACAAAGGGGGATTTGGGGCGAAATTTGTTTTAGCAACCAAAGCAGACCCCCAACATGCTCAAAAATGGTACAACAAAATCGTCCCTGGACTATTGTTTTGCTATTTCTGAGCATTCCTCCTGTAGAGGGACGAGCCCGACTTCATCCTAGCCTCTCCCCTGGGAAGTCGGCGGCTCGGCGTGCCCGTGCGTCTCTGCCCCCGTGCTGCGCGAACCGGGGCCCGTGCTGTGCGTGCCGAGACGGGCACCGGGGAGGGCCGCCGCTGCCCCGCCCAACGGGCCCTCCTCCGCATGGCGACGTCGAAGGCCACCCGGAAGGCGTCGCCGACGTAGGTCAGGAGGAGGAGGCCGAGGAAGACGGCGAGGCCGCCCCACCTCAGGAACGGGGGCCCAGGGGCACACATTTTTCATACATATATATATATATATATATATATATATATATATATATATATATATACATATATATATAGATAGATAGATCCACAGATCCCAGGCTTCCCCCTATTTTCCCACTTTCCTGGGCTTCCGTCTTCCCCCCCCCCCCCCTTCCCGCATTTTCCCGTAGTGCCTCGGGGATCGACGATCAATTGTGTCTGTGCTTTGTCCCTCCTGACTCAGACGAGGCCAGCACAAGGACAGAAAATCGGACTCGCTGCGAGAGATCTGGCGGTTCCGGGGATGTGCATCCGGCGCCGCGGCCGTTCCAGAGAGCTCTGGAACGCGCTGAGAGCGCTCTGGAACGTTCTGAACTTGCCGTCGCTCGGACGTCCATTCCCCCTGCATTTGTCGGCTTCGCGCGTGCCTGGTGTTGCCAGATGATCCAGGAGGCTCCTCGGTGGTCCTCCCCGAAGACAGAAAGCGCACGTCCGAGCGATGCCCACAGAAACGATTTCTACCCCCGTCCTATCGGGCGGGTGGCAGTGGGGCGTGGCCCAGGTGGGCGGTGAAGAGGGAGGCCCCACAGGGGCCCTCCAGGGCCCCTCTCGGGCACCCGCCGGCTCCCAGCGGGGCCCCGGAGGGCACCTTGAGGGCTCTTCTCTTCACCCCCCATATTAAAGGGGCCCCAGGACACACAAATAAATGCACACAAATAAAAAGATTCCCTATATTTTCCCACTTCCCATATGTTCTCATATGTTCTGGGGAATCGAAGATTCATTGTGCCTGTGTGTTTTTTCCTCTCCCGACATGTGTGGGGCCACCTCCCGTTGCCACCCGCCCGATCCGAGCGCCGCCCGACCGCCTCCTGCCCGGCAGCAGCTCCCCAAAGAACTTCGAGTACACCGAGAGGTCCAGCAGCCCCGTGGCGCGGTCCTTCGTAGGAAATGCTTCGGGCGGCGCACGGTCAGCAGCAGGGCTGAACCTAAACGGTGTGTTTCGTTTTCGTTTTGTTTTCGTTTCCCATCGCTGTTGTCTCGAATCCGCCTTTACCGCAAAACGAAGTCGAAACGAAAACAGCCCACGAAATCACCAACATGATCGATCCACGAACCCGGAAAGGAATATAGAACTGTAACATATGGCAGCGTTTTCAAAGACACCTGATTGGGTGACGGGCAAATGCAATGCTGAGTGTATCGATCTTGATGTACCGTGCCGAGGGCTGTGCTGTGCTGCGCCGTGCTGAATTGCGATGTGCCATGGCGCGATTGTGCTCTATAGCCTCGTGGATCGAATCCTCCTTTGCATCCGAGTCCTGACCGAACTGATCTGGATCTTAAGCTCGAGCTGCCTGAACACATAGTAGCTGCCCCAGAACTAATGGACGGAGGGACATGCCAGGAGGACGCGCCGCGAAACGTCCCAAGGGATGCGCCAGGCGACGTGCCACGGGACGTGCCATGGGGTCGCACCGCGGGACGTGCGAAGGGGACGCGCTGCGGAACGTGCCAATGGATGTGCCACGGGATGTGCCAGGGGACGCGCCACGCGACGTGCCAGGGGGACTCGCCAAGGGACGCCCCACGGAACGAACGTGCCAAATTGCAATGCTGAGTGTATCGATCTTGATGTACCGTGCCGAGGGCTGTGCTGTGCTACATCCTGTCAAAATCCCAAGAAATCCTCGCCAAACAAACAAATTTGCCGAGACATCCTCAACATTCCTGCGCGCGGGACGCGGCACGCGCGAGACATCCTCGGAATTCCTGCGAGCGGGACGTGAAAACAAGCATTTCGCCTGAGACATCCTCTGAATTCGGGCACCCCACGACACCCCCGCTCGAGACATCCCCCCAATTTTGCAAAACCAGCGTTTCGCTCGAGACATCCTCAACAATGTTAATTTTTTTCTTTTTGTTTTTTATTTATTTTTTAAATATATATATATATATATATATATATATATATATATATATATATATATATATATATATATAAAAAAAAAAAAAAAAAAAAAAAAAAAAAAAAAAAAAAAAAAAAAAAAAAAAAAAAAAAAAAAAAAAAAAAAAAAAAAAAAAAAAAAAAAAAAAAAAACGTCGAGACATCCTCAAAATTCCTGCGCGCGGGACGCGGCACGCGCGAGACATCCTCGGAATTCCTGCGAGCGGGACGTGAAAACAAGCATTTCGCCTGAGACATCCTCTGAATTCTGGCCAGCCACGAGACCCCCGCTCGAGACATCCCCCCAATTTTGCAAAACCAGCGTTTCGCTCGAGACATCACCAACAAATTATGAAAGACAAGCGTCTCGTTCGAGACATCCTGCCA